TAATTCAGTAAATGAGAATGAGGGTCCTGTTGTTGTTTGGTGGTAGTGGTAGTGGTATTGTTAGTGTTAAGTGCCATCAAGTTAGCTCTGACTCATATCGACCGAGGAGCAGCTGGTGGATTTGAACTACTGACCTTGTGGTCGATAGTTCGAAGTCCAGTGCTGATCCTACAGGTCTCAAATTGTCCTCAACTCATGATGACCTCAGTGGAACAAAACACTGCCCAGTCTTGTACCATCCATGATTGGTTGCAGATTAGACCATTGTGACCCATGGAATTTTCAAGGGCTAATTTTTGGAGCTCTGGTAGCGTAGTGGTTACAAATCAGGCTGCGAACCGCAAGGCCAGCAGTTCGAAACTACCAGCTATTCCGCAAGAGAAAGAGGAGGCTTTCTGCTCCCGTAAAGATTTACAGTCTCGGAAACCCTGTATAGGGTCGCTATGAGTCGGAACCGACTCCACGGCACATAACAACAACAATTTTTGGAAGCCTTTCTTAGTCTGGAAGTTCTGCTGAAATCTGTTCCTTATAACAGCCATACAAAAGCCTTCACTGACAAATTTGTGGTGATTGCACATGAGGAACCAAATCCAGGTCTCCTGAATGTGGCTAAATTTTGCTGAGTCGGCTTTGACTCCCAGCAACCCTATTCACAACAGAATGAAACAGTGCCCAGTCCTGTGCCATTTTCACAGTAGCTGTTGCATGTAAGCCCATTGCTGCTGCCACTGTGCCAATCCATCTTGTTGAGGGTCTTCCTCTTTTTCACTGACCTTCTATTTTACTGACCATGGTGTCCTTCTCCGGGAACTGGTCCCTTCTGATGACAATCTGCCACAGAGCCTCTAATAAATGCAACCTTGAGAATGAGATAAAAGTCTCGAGCTAGAGTCTCCCTAGTCCTTAGATGTCCATGGCAACATGAAGGTCATGATGTTCACCTCTTAGGTGGCTATGACGACGGCTCAAAGCATGTAAGAAAAGAGTCAAAACCAAACACCTGGCGCATGAATCCACTGCCGTCCAGCTGATTCTGAATTTACAGCAACCTTACAAGACAAAGTAGCCTGACTTCTACTCCATAGTCTAACAGAAGTAGATTGCCTCATCTTGCTTCCACGGTGGTGAATTAAAACGCTGAACTTTCGATGAGCAGCCCAATGCTTAACCCACTGCACCATCCGGGTTCCTTATCTGATGCATTTGCTGTTAAGTACCACTGAGTTGGTACAAACGCATAGCAACCCCATATAGGATTTCTGAGGAGCGACTGGTACATTTGAACTGCTGACACTGTGGTTCAAACCGACCTTATGATCCAGTGCTTATCTTAAAGTGCCACACCAGGACTCCATCTGACATATGTTGTTGTTCTTGTTAAGTACTGTCAAGTCAATTCCAATTCATAGTAACCCTGTATAGGATTTCCAAGGAGGAGGTGGTGGTTCATTGTCCAGTGGTGATCCTACAGCACCACACCAGGAGTCCGACACACAGCAGTACCTAATATATGTTATGAAGTCCTGATGTGACCCTGTGGGTTAATGCACTGGACTGCAAAGTCAATTTGAACCACAAGGTTGGTGGTTCAAGCTCACCAGCTGCTCCTTGGAAACCCTATATAAGGGTCGCTATGGGTTGGGACCCACTCGACAGCATTTAACAACAATATATGTTATGTTCCTTCCTTTAAGAAAATCCTTTCAACTCAGTTCCTGGATCTGAGGCCTCCAAGGCCTGAATCTCCGATTGGTAGGAAATCCGGTTTTGAGAAAAAAGGGTCTTTAATGATTCCCAGAGCACGGACCTTTCAATCGCTAGCAGAGAAAGAGTGCTTCACATGTTAGCTTTGGGAAATGATGCCTTGCTCCAAAGAACCTGCCTGATCCCTGTCACTGTCTTCCCTAGGATTAGACTCTGTGCTTCCTTTCCAAGATTTGCCCTTCCACCTGTGCAATCCTGAGGGTCTCACTCCTGGCCTGGAATCATGCAAAGGATAATGATGATGTACATATTCTACCTCCACACAGGCAGGAATAGCCACCTAACCATTCACAGATGGAGAGAAAGCTTATGCTGAAACCTTGGAAAACTTGGTATTTGACTCTCTTAAACCCAGGACAAGACACTTCACCCATTCAAAAGAGGAGTATCCCTCAATCCACCTCATGAAAAGATCCTCTATTTTCCCTCAGAAATATAAGGAAATTTACTTATCTAGAAATGAGAACGGGGTAAGAACCAAGGAAGGACACTGCTGGCTTGGGCATTTGGTCCTCCCACCCCGTCACTGCATCAAAGTCAACACATTGGTAAGTGATAGGTTTCCGGACATTGGGCCGTCAGTCTAGCCTCACTGCTGCAGACTCTTGGGCTCTATTCCACCTCACAAGCTTCCTCTTCATGGAACAGTCCCATAGGTACACAGAACCAGGAAGGCATTTGCAGAATGAGAGAAAGCAGCCCTGACTGCCCGCTCTCAGTAAAGGGATAAGAGTCTAGTTAGCCATTCTGAAAAATAAGCCATCTTTGCTGAGCACTTAGTCCTGCCCAGTCTTCTGACCACTGCTCCCACCTGGGGAACTCTGCCCTGGTGGCCTGTGGGACATACTCTGTGGTCCTCCCAACAGTGTCCTCTGAGTATATCCAGTTTGGGGTTGACACTGGCATCTGGCTAAGGCCCCACTCCAAGAAGTTAATCATTGCCCTGTTGTGGAAGGTTGGGGACAATCAACAGGACGCAAGAAAACCTCAAGTTGCCACCTGATCCCCATATCTGTCACACCTCCTCCAACCCAACCCTCTGATCCCCACTTAGTCTTCCAAATAACAGAAGAAACAGAATGTCTTTATCTTCACAAGGAAATAAAAGGGAGTTTACTGGGAAATTCCCCTACAAGAAAGAAAGAGCCAAGATAAACAACTTTATTACCTTTGGCTTGAGCTAGTCAAAGGTATCTCTGGCCCCTGGAGGGAGGGGGCAGAGGCCAAGGTAGATGGGGAGGCCTGGTAGAAAATGGCCTGGGCCTTGGGCCTTGTGCTTGGCCTTCTTAGCACTTCTTATCTTTATGGGCACTCATTACTGCCCAGAGCTTGTTATCTTGTTTTCTGCTTTTTAAGACTCTCCGTGTTAAGTCCATTGCAAACTTTAAAGCGTGGGAAAGTGCAGGTTCCTCTCTCCTTTTTCCTCCTCTAGCTGCAGTTAGAGTTGGCAAGAGCTACATTCAGGATGGGCACTGGGACCCTCCTCCCTCCCCAGTCTTGCGCTGTGTCCATGGGGCCACACAGGACCTTGTTTTGCATTCTCCATCACTATCTACTCTGGTCTCATCAGACAGGGTCTCAAAGGCCTTACCACCTACATTTTTAGCTCTATTTTCAGAAATGAGTCATTGGGAAACCTTGGGAATGACACTCAGCATCTTAAGATTTTTATTTTCTTATCCATTTGTTGTTCTTAAGTGCAGTCGAGTCAGTTCCAACTCATAGCAAACTTGTATAGGGCTTCCAAGGAGCAGCTGGTAGGTTTGAACTGCCCATGTTCGGTTCACAGTCCAGTGCCGATCCTACAGCACCACTCCAGGAATCCATTTGCTGTTACTAGTTGATGTCGACTTGGGTCCTGACTCATGGCAACCCCATGCATAATGGAACAGAATGCTGTCCAGTCATGCACCATTCCATCATCAGTTGGACTGGACCATTGTGATAGATGGGATTTTCACTGGCTGATTTTCAGATGTAAATCTCCAGGCCTTTCTTCCTAGTCTGTCTTACTCTGAAAGCTCAGCTGAAAGCTGAAACTCAGCAACACACAAGCCTCCACTGACAGACCAGGGGTGCACTGACCGGGAACTCTGCCGGGTCTCCAGGATGGAAGGAGGGGGTTCTATGGCAGTTATGATTCACTGGTAGAATTCTTACCCACAAATGTAATCTATCCTAGCTCATGTAAATCCAAGTTATAAGGCTCAAGTGAAATTATGTAAACCAAAGTGCTTTGATAAGCCAAGTAGATTCTATAAACAACAGGGACAAGCACAAGGTACAAGCATGTCACTGTATTTGAGATGTACCATGCAAGAGGTTAAGAGCATGAACTTTAGAGTCAGACAAATCTGATTTTGATCTTGTCTCCCACCACCCCAGCTCCAACCTGCATACCTAATTCCTATGTAACCTTGAAGAAAGTACTCAGCCTTTCAGTTTTCATTTCCTCAGCTATAAAAATGTGCATCAGAACACCCATCTCCCACCTCATGGGGTTAACACAAAGTTTAAATGAGATAATGCATATAAATTATCTGGGATATGGTGGTGGTGGTTATGTGCTGTGGAGTTGGTTGTGACTCAGAACAACCCTGGATAGGGTTTCCGAGGCAGTAAAACTTTACGGGATCAGACAACTTCATCTTTCTTCAGTGGAGTGACTGGTAGATTCAAACTACTTACCTTGCCGTTAGCAGCCTAGCTCACAAACCACTACCCTACCACAGCTACATTTCCAACCATAATAGCCATGAACTCTCCTCTAGGGGTCTGAGCTTGATCATAAAAGATGGCAGCCTCCTTCACCTCTTGGGGGTATATGGAGGGCAGCTGAATCAGAAGGATGAAGTCACATGTTAACAGAACCAGTCAGTGAGTCCTTCCTGGGACCTCATGCTGTTCCCACAGAAGAAACGGCACATGTGTCCTATCCCAAAGGGGCTTTTGGCTTAATTGAGAAAATAAGAATGCACTTGTAACTACTAAGGAACAACATGCGCTATGAGATGGGAATTTGAGTCTCAAAGGGTAAGGTGGGGCCATTTATTCACTCAGCAGGATGGATGTGAATTGCTGGTGACAAAAAGCCAAGTAAGTGCTACAGAAACTCTAAGGTCAACTAGTTTGGGGAGACAGACAAGTTTCATGTCTTGTGATGATTGTCTTCCAGCATCTCACACAGGAAGGACCGTGAGTGGGCTGCACAGCCCCCACAGGAGCCATCGGCCATGACGCTCTTGGTTTTCCTCGCCTGCCTGCTGGCTGTCGTTCCAGGTGTGTCTGCCAGTCCTAACTAACTCCCTATGGCTCCACCCCTACCCTCCACCCCTCCAGGACCAGTTCCTTGGGAACACTGGGATGGGACCCATCCCCAGGGTGTCCCTCTCAAAATATACATACCCTTGAGAGGAATCACACAGAACACTGCAGCAAGGTCTCCTCTAAGACAGGATTTGTGAGCCTTGGGGATCAGGGTGGATTCCTACTTTCAATGCCAGGGGTCTGGTGTGGGGTGTTCTCTGGTAATAATAATAATAATTATTATTAATAATAATAAAACACAGCCTCTCAACCAAGCATTTCTATTATTTGATAAAATAATTTTGGAGAAATAACTTCTTTATCCTGCCTCTCAATAATTATATCTGAATATATTTTTTAAAATACCTAAAAAATAATAAATAAAAAGAACCTAAAAGTTATTTTTAGAAATAATGTGAAGGTGTAGCTCCCTACAAAGGTGGTGTTAATCTTTTTTTAGGATAGGGAATATAATTTTAAGTGTGATGTTTCATTGTCTTTCATTGATTAAAAGTATAACTTAATAATGATCACCAAATCCAGCAAGGGTCTAGATGTCTTATTGTTGTTGTTATTAAGTGCTGTCGAGTCGACTCCGACCCATAGTGACACTGTATAGGGTTTCCAAGGAGCAGTTGGTGAACTTGAACCACCGACCTTGCAGTTCAAGTGACTTTGCAGTCTGACATATTAGCCTACGGTGCCACACTGTGTGGTACATATTCCACAAAAGGCCCATGTGGCCTTTTCAAGCTGGGCTTTCTGGATGCCTTCAGGAGACTTTTCCTCCCAAAGGCTTCAGACAGCTTCTGTCCTCTCTCTCCACAGAGGTTTCCATGAAGAGTCCCATATTTGGTCCCCAGGAGGTGAGTAGTAAGGAAGGCAAGTCAGTGTCTATCAAGTGCTACTACCCAGCAACCTCTGTCAACCGTCATTCCCGGAAGTTCTGGTGCCGCCAGGAACCCAGCGGCCGCTGTATAACCCTCATCTCATCAGGGGGCTTCATCTCCGAGGACTACACAGACAGAGCCAACCTCACCAACTACCCAGAGAGCAACATGTTTGTGGTGGACATTGCTCATCTCCTCCAGACTGACTCTGGGAAATACAAATGTGGCCTGGGCATAAATAACCGAGGCTTGTCCTTTGATGTAAGCCTGAAGGTCAACAAGGGTAAGGACTCAGGCTCCTTGGGCTTCTGTGGAAAAGTTAGAGGGAGGGAATTGCCTCGGGTGCAATGGAAAAGCTTCCTGGGAGGGAAGAGTGTATAGTGAGAAAGGCTGTGATTCCTCTGCCTTCTGGAGGCAAGGACTTTTCATAGTAGGTGATAGAAAGGAGACATGTGAGGTAAATATGGGGACAGGGGGCAAACCATCCTAAGTCTTTAGGGCTATATCATTATATGACTTTACTGAGGCCCTAGCTTAAAAGGGTACCAGAAAGACAACTTTTCTGGGTTTGCTACAGGTGAGACAAGAGATCTGTGAACTGAGGAAAACAGAAAAGTCAAAAAGAGATTTAGAGGGAGCCATAACTTCCTGCCTTTAACGTGCCGCAGGTCACTAGGAGGCTCTAAATAAAATATGTATTTGTTACCTGGTGTCCATTAGTCCACTGACACTATTTGCATAAATTAGATGACCAGTTTTCTCCCACAGAACAAGGTCCTGAAGAGATTGGTTACTGAACACACCCATCCTAACTAAGAGAAAGAAAAAAATCAGAGAGCTCTTTTTCTGTTTTTAATTGTGAATTCAGTGAAGGTTTACAGACAAGATCATCAGTTTTACAAATCATACACTGTTTCATCTCAATGACTGCAATCCCCTCCAAACAGGTTCCGGTTTCCATTCCACCCACCTACCCATCCCTTCTCTACTCTGTCCTTAAGAAAATGCTGCTCTATTGATTGTGAATGATTGACCATTCCATGGTGAGCATGCCTTACTAGTATTGTTGTCCCCCACTATATACTTATCTACTGCTAGGCTGAAAATTGAACCACAAGGGCGAGTTCCTTTCCAGATCTGAAGTGTAGCTGAGGACCATAGTCTGAGGTGCCTCCAGTATCTTTCTGACCAATAAGCCCGGTCCTTTGTTTTTTTTCAATAATTTTGAGTTTTGTTCCACATTTTCTCCCACTCTATCTAGGACCCTCTAATGTGATCCCTTTCAGAGCAGTTGGTAGTGGCAGCCTGGTACCATCTAGTTCTGGTTTCAGAATCAGAGAGACTGATGTTCACATGTTCCATCTGTCCATTGGACTAATTAATTCCAAACACCTTCATTTCTCATCACTCTTCTTTCTTCTGCACATGGAGAGATTAAATACTGCATCTTAGACTGCTGTTCATGAGCTTTTAGGATCCTAGACACTACAGAGAGATCTTTCTGACAAAGATCCAACAGTGAAAGGATTTTTCTTTGTTTATTTATTGTTTAAACTTTGTATTGTGAATTGAGTGCAGGTTTACAGAGCAGATCATCCCTTTTACATTCAACAAACCATACACTTTGTTTCAATCCCTTCAATGTACCATCCCTTATCATACTTTCTCCCTGTGATTCTTATTTCCATTCAACCTTCTTTCCCAATCCTTTTGAATTTTGCCCTTCGGTAAACGCTGCTCTTTTAATCTCCAATGGTCAACCATTCTATGATGTGTGAACCTCACCCTATGGACCTATCTATTGCTTGGCTGAACATTGTGCAATGTTCCAGACCTGAAGAGTAACCAAGGGCCATGGATTCTGGGTTTCTCCAGTCTCTTAGTGAGAGAATTTTAGATAATCAAGGGCAACCTTAAAAAAAGAGTCTTAAGGGAGGAAATTTCAAAGAGAGGAGATCAACTCCTAAAGATGCTTATTTCCACTTTGGGATGTACCTAATATTGTCTGTTTGTGGGTTAACATCAGGTAGTGATGGAGTTTTCCAGAATTGCAGGATCATTAGAGCAGAAGGGAGCTTAGTGTTCACTCTGTATAGAATATTCTGAAGAAGAACATTTTAGATTGAATGCCTCTGATTAAACACTTTACATAGAGGAACTCCACCACTTCACAAAGCAGCTCCTCCCATGTTTGGACTGTCTGAATTTTTAAGAAGATTCTAGAACAATGAGCTACAAGTTGCCACTTTGCGACTTACATTCATTCTGTTCATTTCAACATGCATTGTTATTGTATAGGCATTGTGCAAGGGGAGTCCAACAGGAGCAAGATGTGTCCCTGGTCTCAAGGAGCTTCCAGATATTGAGGAAGGCAGAGAGAAGCATAATTAACTATACACAAGATTGAGAGTAATAAATGAGAGGGAAGAGGTTAGAGCTAGTCTGAGAACAATGAGGCAGCATCGAAACTGGCCTTGAAAAACAAAGGTTGACAGTGTCCCTTTGGGGAGGTGAACATTCCAAGTGCGAGAATCACCCAGATTCTTATCAGGAAAAGTAGAAGTCCTTTGTTGCATGGAGGTGCAATGACAACATATATCTTCATCCCATCCTGCAGATCCTGAGCTTCCAAGTGGCACTCAGATCTACACAGCAAAGCTGGGCAGAGAGGTGGTCATCGACTGCCTTTTCAAGGCTGAGAATATCGAGAAGAAGAAGTCCTTGTGCAAAAAGGCTGGCCAGAACTGTGTCTTGGTCATCGACTCCTCTGGGTACATAAGCCCCATCTACAAAGGCAGAACAGACCTTAAATTACAGGGCACAAGTCAACTAAAGTTCAGAGTCTCCATTAACCAACTCCAGTCCACTGATACTGGGATGTATGCTTGTATGGCCGGGGAAGAAAGCAGGAATGTTGATCTCCAAGTGATAATGCCAGAGCCCGAGCTGGTTTATGGAGACCTGAGGGGCTCTGTGAACTTTGACTGTGCCCTGGGCTCTGAGATGGCAGAAGTGCCCAAATTTCTTTGTTACATGAGAACCACTGGGCAAAGCTGTGAAGTGATCATCAACACCCGGGGGAAGCTGGCTCCAAGCTTTGAAGGCAGGATCCTACTCAACTTTGAGGACAATGGCTTGTTCCGAGTGCTAATCACCAGTCTAAGGAAGGAGGATGCAGGACGTTATGTGTGTGGAGCCCATCCTGAGGGTTTGCTAAAAGATGGTTGGCCCCGCCAGGATTTTCAGCTCTTTGTCAATGAGGGTAAGACCTTGGAGGGGGGAACAAATAGGGGAGAGCAATGTAATACTCAAGGCAAGAGCTATGAGTAAGTCTATTCTTCAGTATTCATCAGTCAGTCTATACCATCCACTCACTGATGGGCCTGGTCACAATGTGGTCTGAGCAACCAGTGCAGGAGAGCTAGAAAACATGTCTTGTGTTAAAAAGTCAGTTGCCATGGAGTTGATTCTAACTCATCCTAACCCCATGTTTGTCAGAGTAGAACTGTACTCCATGGGGTTTTCAGTGTCTGTGACCTCCAGGTCTTTCTTTTGAGCAGCTTCATCTTCTCAAGACACTTTTTGACCTCTGCCCTTGCTTAATAGGAATGAGGACGGTGAGGTTCCTGGTTAAGGTAAGATTTACAGACTATCTGGGTTTCAGAGAGCCATGGTATATCACCACCCTGAGGAATCCCAGTGCCGTGGCTCGGTCTGCAGCGGTGGTTTGTTCCCTCCCACTGACCCCTGAGCAGAAGGCCCATCATTCTTCACATGCAGATGGGAGAAGGATTGCCTCCTCTTAGTCTTAAAGCTTTCCTGGAGGGTAACTTCCCAGCTTCTAGGTTTTCTGCTCCAACAGACTTGTTAGCAAGATCTGACCGATTCAACTCTACTTTGATAAACCATTAACACAGGGAGTAACTGCTCTTTCTCACCCTGGAGGACTCCACCTACAGCTTCTCTCAGGAGAAGCAGTAAACGAGTACTTGCAAATCAAGATCTCTGTCCAGGTGACATTTCTTGAAGGGATCTATATATCCTGTGTGTGTATCATTTCTGGGTCCTTGCCACATCTCTCCACATCTGCAGTCCTCTAGGATACGCATCAGGGCGCTCTCTCTGAGGGCTCCTCGGCAATGAAACATGTCTAGTTTGTATTTTAAATACCATTCTAAATATGGTGTCTGTATTTGGAGAAAATCCAAATATACTTTTATGTGTGATGAGGTACTAAAGAGACAAAAATTTATATAAAAGGAGATTTTTGTAAGAAGTCAAAGAAGAAGGGTAGTTAAGCTCACCTTGCATTCTTCTATCCTGCACTCAGAATAACATGAGGAAAGAGAACAAGGTGCCCAGTCTGGAGGTTAAAGTCACAGAAATCTGGTCCTGATGGATCTGTCATAGGCTAGGGGTCATTGCTGTTGTTGTCAAGCGTCATCAAGTCAGTTCTGTCTCAGAGTGACCCTGTATAGGGTTTCTGACGAGCAGCTGATCGGTTTGAAGTTCTGACCTTATGATTAGAAGTCCAGTGCTTATCCTACAGCAGTCATTAGGAAAGTCTTTTTTCATTTTCTGAGGAGAGTGAGGTGATTAGTATAAACTTTACATTCCATGATGGCTGGTGAGAAAGGTGTTCAGGCCAACCAAGACCATTCCTTGGAAGGAAGGCCAACCAAGACCATTCCTATGTTGCCATCCTTCATCCCACCTCTCTCTGTGCTTCTAGAGAACAACATTCCCCAGAGTCCATCTGTGGTAAAAGGTGTGGCTGGAGGCTCTGTGGCAGTGTTCTGTTCCTACAACCCTAAGGACAGAAGTTCCCTGAAGTACTGGTGCCGCTGGAAAAAAAGTCAAAATGGCGCTTGCCAACTGTTGGTGGAGAGCCAGGGGCTGGTTGATAATCAGTACCAGGGCAGGCTGGCACTGTTTGAAGAGCCAGGCAATGGCACCTACACTGTCATACTCAACCAGCTCACCACCCAGGATGCTGGCTTCTATTGGTGTATGACCAGTGGTGACATTCGCTGGAGGTCCACCACGGAGCTCAAGATTATTGAAGGTAAGAGCCAAATAAGGGAGAAGGGAGACAGTCCCAAGACTTTCTCCAGTCAGCAGCTGGATCACCCTTCCCCCCACAAACCCACTCTTCCTTCAGTCCCACCTAACACAATACTGAATGGGACAGTCCTCAGGAGAGAACCCACCTGCCCAGAGTTCCTCTTTTTGAACCTGTTCTAAACACCCTTTCATGTTCACTTCTGCACCTTTGAAACTACCACACATAGGCCCTCCTATTATCAAGACCATTGTTCTCTTTCACAGTGTACACAGCCTTCCATTCAAGTAGAGTACAGAGTCTAGCTCATTGTATTGAGTCTGGAAGAGAAGGGAAGAGAAAAGAAAGCAAACTGAATGTAATGGGCAAGGTTTGGGGTTCCATGATAGACCCTAGACTGATTCATGGTAGCTATCAATAGTAATTATTAGAGATCCCCCAATTGCAGCTCTTATGTATTCAGTGTATCTATTTACAATGCTATGGACTGTGAAACCATGTCCCCACCATGGTCAGTCACAGCCCTATAGTATTACCAGCACCAATTCCTGTGTCTATTTCTTCTTCCCATCCTGCTCCAGGAAAGCCAAACCTAAAGGTACCAGAGAAAGTCACTGCTTTGGCAGGAGAGACTCTCAAGATTTCCTGTCACTACCCATGCAAGTTCTACACACAGGAAAAATATTGGTGCAAGTGGAGCAACAAAGGCTGCCAGACCCTGCCCAGCCAAGACGACGGGCCCAGCCAGGCCTTTGTAAACTGTGACCAGAACAGCAAGACCGTCTCTCTGACCCTGAACTCAGTCACGGAGGCTGACCAGGGCTGGTACTGGTGTGGGGTAAAGGAGAAGGAGAACCACCGCTATGGAGAGACCGCTGCCGTTTATGTGACCATACAGAAGGGAAGAGCGAGTGAGTCTCCAAGGGCAAGGCCTGAGTTCCCCAGGGCTCCAGAAGCAAGACCCTTTAATGTCCCTGCCTAACATTTTCTCCAGAGTCCTGGTGTGGTGCTGTGGGCTAATGCGCTGAACTGCAAAGTCAGTTTGAACTTGACTGCAAGGTCAACAGTTCAAGTTTACCAGCCGCTCCTCTGAAACCCTATACAGGATCACTATGAGTTAGAACCGACTCACCGGCACTTAACAACAACAGCTTCTCCATCAGGAGCTTCTCTGTCCAAAGTCTGGCCAGAAGAAGTTAGGGAAAAGGGAGATTTGTCCCCCATATAAGCTCATTTGGTGGTTGGTGGTGGTTATGTGGAGTCAGTTCAGACTCATAGCGACCCTTATAGGGTTTCAGCTCATTTAGTACTCCCAAATGGCATCCCAATAGAAACACATGGGGACTTCAAAAAGTTTATGGAAAAATTTCATTTTCTTATAATTCCATGTTTCCACAAACTTTTTGAGGCCCCCTCATACAATCTAAGTCACAATCGTGGTCTTGCTGTTCTTAGTTAGCTTCAAGGTGCATCCATCCCACCATTCTCCTTTCAGTCCTGGTATGGTGCTGCAGGATAATGCACTGGACTGCAAGGCCAGTTTGAGCTGTGAAGTCGGTGGTTCAAACCCACCCTCTGCTCCTTGGAAATCCTATACAGGGTCACTATGAGTCAGAACTGACTCGATGGCATGTAAACAACAACAACAAAAAGCCTCTTCTATAGATAGAGATTCCAGGTTCACTATCATAAACCATTGTGGTCATAATGCCTCCCCACTGCCAAAGCCTGCTCTCAGAAGAGGGCCAAACAACAACAATCAAATCACTGCCCCTCAGTGGATTCTAACTCATAGCGACCCTGTATAAGGTTTCCAAGACCACATTTTTACAAGGGCAGAAAGCCTCATCTTTCTCTGGAGGAGCAACTGGTGAGTTTGAACAGCCAATCTTGTGATTAGCAGCCCAGCACCTAGCCCAATTACTAGGTCCGGTAAAGAACATTAAGGCAAATTCTTCTAACACCATCTGCATTATATATAAGCCTCTTCTTTGAATGTCACGTGAAATGGTTTGTCTCTGGTTAGGGTATATTCAATCTCCCTTGTTGTGGCTAAGTGCCATGGAGTCAGTTCCAACTCATAGCAACCATGTATAGGGTTTCCATGGAGCAGCTGGAATGTTTAAACCACTGCCCTTCTAATTACTAAAATTACCAATTCAATGCTTATCCTACAGCACCACACCAGGACTCCTCTTTGTTGTGTTGTTAAGTGCTGTCGAGTCAGTTCTGACTCAGAGTTACCCTGCATAGGGTTTCCAAAGAGTGGTTTGTGAGTTTGAATCATTGACCTTGTGGTTCAAACCAAAACTCGTGGTCAAGTACTTATCCTAACGTGCACATCAGAACCCTAGGACTCCTCTTACACATGTGCAATTCTACCACTCTTAGCTCTCGTAGAAGTGTAATTGGTCTCCCTTATAAGTCTTATATATAACAAGATGGATTGGCCAAGTGGCAGCATCAACGGACTCAAACGTGGCAACAATAGTGAGGCTGGCCCAGGATCGGGCAGTGTTTCGTTCTGCTGTGCATAGGTCGCAATGAGTCGGTACCAACTCGATGGCACCTAACAACAACAACAACGTAAGTCTTATTAGGAGTTCTGGTGTGGCGCTATAGAATCAGCACTAGACTGTGAACCACAAGGTCAGGAGTTCAAACCCACCAGCTGCTCCTTGGAAACCCTATACAAGGTCACTATGAGTCAGAACCGACTTGACCACACTTAATAACAACAACAACAACAACAACAACAAAGTCTAATAAGAAGCCATGGTAGCACTGTAGGAAAAGCACTGGAGTGCTAACCACAAGGTTAGCAATTCAAACACACTAATCACTCCAGAGGAGAAAGATGAGGCTGTCTGTTCCCATAAAGATTTATAGTCTCAGAAGCCCTAAATAAGGTCACTATGAGTCAGAATCAACTCAGTGACAGTGGGTTTTAGAAGTCCTGCAGTGAGACTACCCTACATCCAAAAAATCAACCATTTAAAACCCTATGGGAAAAAAAAAATTTTTTTTTTTAAACCTTATGGAGTACAATTCTACTCTGACACATATAGGGTTGCCATGAGACTGAAGTCGGTTCCAACTCATAGTGACCCTGCATAGGGTTTTCAGGGGTTGACTGAGCCAATGACAATAGAAAAAAAAAGAAGTCCTATTATGTATGACTGGGAGCTCAGTGACTCTGTACAATAAATACTGGACTGTGAGCTACTCCACGGGAGAAAGAGGCTTTCTGTTTCCCCAAAGATGTGCAGCCTCAAAAACCCTATCCAGGGTGCCTATGAGATGAAACTGGCTCAAGGACATTTAACAAAATTTATGGCTGACTCTAGCTAGTCTGGCTGACCATGTTGTTGCTGTTAAGTGCCATCCTGACTCACAGCAAGCCTGTATAGGGTTTCCAAGGAGTGGTTGGTGAGTTTGAACCACCAACCTTGTGGTGAGCAGTCCAGTGCTTATCCAACAGCACCACACCAAGGCACACCATTTTGTTGTTACTGTTGTTAAGTGCCATCGGTCGAGTCAGTTCTGACCCACAGCGACCCTGTACAGGGTTTCTAGGAGCAATTGGTGAGCTTGAACCACCAACCTTGTGGTTTAAGCCGACTTTGCAGTCCAGCACATTAACCCACAGTGTGACACCAGGACTCCAAGGCTCACCATTTTTTGTTAAGTGCCCTGGAGTCCATTCCAACTCATAGCAGCTCACCATAGGGCATCGTTAACAAACTACCACTAGGAGGCAGCACCTCACACCAAGTTCTATAGCCAGAAAGACTTGGGCAGGGTTTCAAAGCTATGAAAAATTGCCCAGTCTTTTAAGTGATAGCTCCGACCTTATGCATAACTGGATGGAGCACTGTGGGTGGAAATGAGTGTGCTATTAATGGGGCAGAGAGCATCTGTAGCAAACTCAAGAAGGCCACACCACTGCCTTTATCTCTAAAACCATCCTGGATCCTACCTCAAAAGCCTTGACCCTGAGATTCCTAATGAAGTAGCACTGCTCACACTCCCTAACCTCAAGGAGAAAACAATCCAAAATCATACCCAATATCTCCCTTTACTCTGCTCAGTTCCAGAGTCCCATGTTGTCAGCCAAGAAAAGGCTGCTCCCAGTGAGGAGGCAGTGGAGCCAAATGTTCGGCAGTTTGAAAACAAAGCCATTCAATATCCCAAGCCTGCAGTGATAGAGGATCTTGAAGCTGGTGATGCACAATCTGGCAGGTGAGGAAGGGTTTGGGGCTCTCCAGATGGGATAGATCACCAACCACAAGGAGGAAAACCCATCTGCATTTTAAATCGTGGGGGCTGCCCTAACCATCTTGCTTGTGCTTAACAAGGTCCAGGGGTGCTCTCTGGCCTTTTCCCTATGGTTGAAGCAGTACCTTAATTTCTTAGGGCTGCTATAAGAACAATATCACAAGTGGTTGGCTTTAACAAACAGAAATTTATTTGCTCAAACTGTAGAAGTCTGAATTCCAGATAGCAGCTCTAGGGGAAGACTGACTGTCAGCTCCGGGGGAAGTCCTTTTTCAGCTTCTTTAGGGCTTTTCTCAGTATTCTTTGGAGATCTCCAAGTGGTATCTATTATTCCATCCTTTATTTTTTTAATTTTTCTTTGCTTCTATACCAAATCTGCTCTTTTTACATCTTAAAGGAAGTTAGAGTTAAGATTCACCACAAAATCCCTATTCCCAAGTGGGAATATAGCCACAAATTAGGATTCACAACACATGTTTTGGGTGGGTCACAATTCAATCAATTCAATTCCATTTCAAAGGATCCTGATGCAGAGGAGGCCTAGTCCTAGTCTTTGCCTTGTCTGAGAAGGCTTCTTGGAAGAATAGAGCTAGGGCACTGTATCAGGAGGAGACAGAGAATCAGCCAGGGAGCAAAGGAACCGGAGTAAACCAGCCAGCACATCCTGGGACCCAGGTTTCCCTTTTAGCTATTAACTAACTTAATCATTTTTCCAGCACTGGAGAACAAGGCAAGAGCTCCACAGTGCTGATCTCCACGATCGTACCCCTGGCCCTGGTGCTGGTGGTAGGAGCTGTGGTTGTTGGGATCCTCAGAGCCCGGCACAGGAAGAATGTTGGTGAGTTCCCAGGATGTACCCTGCCCATCTCTAATCCAAGGCTTTGTACCCCAGCTCTGCTGCCCATAGAGAAGATTGCCTTTGTCTCTTCTCTTTCATATGCTAACAGAAAGGAATCTGGAAAAGGAGGATGGGGAAAGACAAGCTCTCACATTCCCTAACCTTAAACTGCATGCTCCTTTCCAAATAGGAGAAGTTCTTGTGTGGCACAAACTATTAAGCGCTCAACTACTAACTGAGAGGTTGCTGGTTTGATCCCTCAGAGACAGACCTAATTGTCTTCTTCTGAAAGTTCACAGTCATGGAACCCCTATGGAATGTAGTTCTCCTCTGCAACACCTGAGGTTGCTCTGAATCAGAATGGGCCCCTGGAAACTGGTTACTCATGGAAATACTGTCTCCTGAAGGGTATCTCTGATGATCAGGGTCTACGTTCAAAGACAGAGCAGCCTAGGAAAAGGAGATGAGGAGGTGGTAAGACCTGGACTCTCATCCTAAATGGCTATGCGATTTGGGGTAAGGGCTTATTCATGCTTCAATTTCCTCATTGCTCAAAACAGAGTTAATAAAAACCACTTCGACAGGCATCAGATGTGAGGGGGAAATGAAGCAAAAGTCAGGAATTGCTGAGTCTTGATTATCCATGAAAAGGGACTCATTTCCACTTGGAGCTCTGGATACTAGGGACAAACAACCAGAGAGGCCCACTCCCATTTCAGCTTTCCTGTAGAGTGGCAACAGCTCTCCCTTAGAGGTTCAGCGCATTCCCTAGCTTATCCTTCTCTCAGTCCTTACCCCAACTCTTCTTTCTCCAAAGACCGAATTTCAATTAGGAGCTACAGGACAGACATTAGCATGACTGACTTAGACAACGCCACGGATTTTGGTGCCAATGACAACAAGGGAATCTCTTCAGTCATTCAAGAATCATCCCTCAGAGGAAAAGATGGTATGTACCCTCACTTGCGGGGATGTTCGACCCCCAAAAGGGCAAGAACGAGACATGATGTTACATCTGTGGTGGAACTATGAGCTCATGAGGCCTAATCATCTCCCTTTTCACCCAAACTTCATCGCTACTACAGAGACTACCACAGAGACCACCACAGAGACCACCACAGAGACCACGGAGAAGAGTGAAGAATCCAAGAAGCAGAAAAGGGTAAGAATGAGAAGGGAGCAGAGGCTTCGCCTGTGGGGCAGAAATGCACCAGGAAGGACTGCAGTTAGTCAGCAGGAAAAACTACCTCAATGTGGGACCGACTCAACCCCATAAAAAGGAGAATGTTGTAAATACTATTGAGAGCTTATTTTGGAGAGAAAGATGTTTCTTTCTGGGGAGGGCCTGGCTGCTAGCTGTTGCTGTGAATGAGGATGGAGAAGGAGATGAGCTGTATTTATAAGATTTAGAGTCCTGGTGGCATGGCATAACAGTTAAGTTCAAAACGTGGGCAGCTCTGTGACTACAAGGGAGAAAGTTCTGGCTCCAATATAGATTACAGCCTAGAAAACCCTATAGGGTAATTCTGTTCTGTCACATGGGTGGCTAGGAGTTGAAATTGACACCACAGCATCACCCAATAACAACAAACTTACAGAAGGGAAGGAGACTAGGATGAAGAAGGCAAGTGTATAGACAATTCAGCCGTAGGGTGGGACGATCAAATATCAAAGGTGCTAACTAAGTGAATGCTTTTCTGGGACTGGAGGGGCCATGGACCTCTGGTCATCTGTCCCTGCAAGAGGGTTTGCTCAGGACCAACCTTTTGGAGGGCCTCTAAGACATTTGCTCATGGTGGGCAATTTGATAGTCACCAACCTAGTACCCCTTTGTCCTTGGATTACATATTACTTCCCTTCATGTTCCCTGAGGTTCAGGGGCTCTTGGAAGGATAACACCTCGTATCTCTAATCCTGAGGTGTGAATGCCTTCTATCATATATACTTTACCTCACCAGAGCAGAAACCCCAGCATTTACAAGCAACCATAGAAGAATCAGCTGTCCTGAAGACAGCATTCTGCTCTAGTCTAATGATACTGGTCAGGTGGAGCCAAAAACAATCTAATCCTCTGTGACAGCCACCAGCCTTGCCACCTTGACCTGTGCACTGTGTAGGCAGAGCTTCCGGGGACAGGCCCAGGCAACAGAGATGGTTCCACTCTGTATGTCAGAAGGAGGTAGTGAGACAAAAAGAGGTATTTTTAGAGGCTGCAACTTTCCATTTCTCAAAATAAATGCCTCTTGTTGTGCATGGGGGCCAAAGAAAGATTAGTGGGTTTACACAGGCTTCTGTTGCTTGGGCCCAAGATTATGACTTGTGGCCTCCTCCCAGTCCTCAGCACTGAGCCAGTGCCCCAAACACTGATTGATTCTTGTCCTGTTGCTCCCTCAGTCATCCAAGGAGGAAGCTGACATAGCCTACAACGCCTTCCTGCTCCAGTCCAATACCATGGCTGCAAACCTCCAAGATGGCTCCTGCAAAGCCTAGGCATCGTGCCGACTCTGCCTTCCTCCGCCCTTCACAATCATCTCAGAATCACGTTGATCTCAGGGCCCTCAGTTCCAGGGGCCTCCTGCTGCCTGCACTTATACCCACCTCAACATTTCTTGTCTGTCCTCAGAGGGTGTGCTGGTCCTCTTCTCAGGGTCCTCGTTGTTCCTGTTTGGGGAGAGTGCTGTGGGTCTTCCATCTACTGAAGCTTACTTCTAATGAGAGAACCTAAGGTACAGAAGGAGAAATAAGGTCTTAGAGGGGCCTCTCAGAAAGAAGAAAGGACAAGGAGCTAATATTAAAAGTAGTGGGTTACATGCTGAGCTGCTAATTGAAAGATCAGCAGGTTAACTCCAGCTGCTCTGCAAGAGAGAGATGAAGCTGTCTGCTCCCATAAAGATTTTCAGTCTCAGAAACCCTGTACAGGGTTGCTATGAGTCAGAACTGACTCAACAGCACTTAACAACAATAAACCCTCATTACGGGATGCCAACTGGCTTTCCTCTCCATCCCTTCATTGTTTTTTCCTTCCTTCCTCTCTTTTTCTTTGCTTCATTCCAGGTGCCCTGCTAGACACTGGTACAGATAGGCCACAAACCCAGCTAGCAGCCCCTCTGTAGATATCTGAGTCTTGAAAGCCTCTCGGGGTAACTGTATCATTAAGACCTCAGATTTTAACCAGATAGGCCCACCTCTGTCCTTATGGAGAAAAATCACAAGTATCTGGAGTCCTAAGGCCTTAGGGCTCATGTAACACAGTGGTTGTGGTGGTTATGTGCCACCAGGTTGGTTCCAACACATAGCGACCCTGTATAGAGTTTCTGAGGCTGTCTGCAGAGTGACTGGCAGACTTGGACCCCTAATCTTGTGATTACCAGCCCAGCTCATAATCGACTACACTACCAAAGCTCCTTAGATAACATGGGCATGCATACAATTGTACACAGAAGAACATTGGGGCCTGGAAAGATTATTCTAACGGTATCAAGTAAGATAAACCAGCTTCAAAACTAGATTTGGGCTCTCTCTGTAAGAACCTCTACTTCCCTAGTGAAGGAGGAATTTTCACTTTGGAATAAGGAGGAAGAGGAGAATGTAAAAGGAGACTGGTTTCTCACCAGTCTCAGGAAAGGTGACACTTTCTCTTTCTGTTACTCACATGGATGTACCCAAGAATATGAAAGCACAAACATTCTAATGTGATGGCCCCTCACATTTGAAGAGTTCTGAGTGGAAGAGAAGAAAAGACGGCATTGGTTTGATGCTTGGGAGTAGCTGATACCCAAAGAGCTAATGTTTTAGGTCTTTCTTCCTCTGAGCTCTGTACTTTAACCAGCACCTAAAATATGGCATTTGCTAACAAATCAAAAATGTCACTTAATTAATAAAGACCATGATCGCCATTAAGAAGTCTCAGACTGTATTGCCACCCCCACTCCATGCCTGCTATTTCTCAGATAACCATTTTAGAGTGTTTTGCTTGGGTCCTACTTTAAGGCATCCCAGGACATGTGTCTAAACCAGACTCCCCCACATCTAAAGCTGGGCTGAGGGAGACCATGAGAGAACCTAAAAGTGGGACCAAATTCATCAATAAAAGAATAGTTTTGTGTCTACTCTTGTGACCAAAACCCTAAGTATTACAGCAGTATTACAGAACACAATTAGGAGTGCTCCTATTTTATAATGGAATAAACTGAAAGCAAGAATGACTGGTGCTCATCTCAGACATAAAAATATATATCTTCACCAAACATCCATGGGATATTGCACCTTGAATTTCATACCTGCGATAAACTCCAAGATGAAGAAGGTTGTTAACTGAAAGTGAAGTAATCAAATGTGTCAACTCCTTCTATAGGATTATCAACTAGAAATAATTTAATTATTAAGGGATCACTAGCAAAAATGATACCGCTTTGGTTTCAGAATAATTGATCCAAAGCCCTCTTTTGGGAGGACAGTGATTTAGGAGACAAGGATCCCATGTCTACTAAATCCATTCCTAGATCTGGCACTAAGCCACGTCTTTGTAAGGAATGTCTGAAATATCTGTTGGCAGCTCCCTTCAAGCATGGCAATGATTGTGAGGTTGGCCCAGGACCAGGCAACGTTTCGTTCTGTTGTGCATAGGGTCGCTATGAGTCGGTACTGACTTGATGGCACCTAACAACAACAACAAGTTCCCTTCATCCCCACCATCTCCTTGGGGTCTATGTGTATCAAGAGTTCTCTCTGGGAGAGAGTTCTCCATATTATTCTGCCCTGCAGAGGTAGGCAGAACCTTTACTTCTCCCCAGGGCTTGCTCCGGATGCTGCATCTTTCCACACCTGCCCTTGTCTAAACCACATATTGGTTTTCCACTGAGTCTCCACTGACCGCAGTACCCAGGTCAGAGGCCCAGGGTGCTGATTTGACCAGAGCCTTGGGCTTTTTCAAACCAGAAAGGCAGTCATGAAGAATGTTTATTTTATTGTTTTTTATAAGGAAGATGCATATGTAACATTTCCCAGAATAATAGAATGATAGTAAATAATTTTGAAAGCCAAACTACAAAGTATTCAGAACCTATAACTATTTTACCCCCTGAAAACTACACTCTGACTCACCAAAGGGCCAAGCCTGTGACAGAAGAATTAAGAAGTTGCTTACATACTAACTTCAACAACCAGCAATCCAATCCTGAGTTCATGCAACTAACCCTGATTCTTGGAATAAAAAGCTAAGAAATGTCACCTCAGCCACAGATAATCTTATACATATATATTTGGGGGGGGGGGCAAAGTAGGTAGGAGTAAGTGGGGAGTATTAGACTTAGAACTATGGGAAGGTCTAGGCTAGGCCTAGGACTTCAGTTAGTTTTAGGACTAGGGTTAATGTTAAGAGTAAGGAATGGGCTAGGGCTATGAGCAAAACTTGGTCTCAATTTTAGTGTTACAGTTAGCTTTATTCTTATTTATTATTTTTTTCTTGAAATCTATTTTATTTCCTCTTCATTAAGTAGTTCTGTAGATTATTCCCTCTTTTTAATTTTGCAGGTTTTTTGTTCTTTTTGTTGCAACTGAGACTCTGGTTCTCTTCTCTCAGTCTTGTAGGTCTGTTTTACTTTGCATACTTCTATATCTGGGTTGGGTCGAGGTGATATTGTAATGCATGTTAGTCTCAGGTTGTTGTCTGCAGTTGTTGGTTCTCTGTCCAAAGAACTCCTTTTAGTATTTTTTGGTAAAGCTGTTGTGATTTTTACAAATTTTTAATATCTGTTTATCTGAAAATGACTTAATTTGGTGAACAATTTTGCTAGGTATATGGTTCTTGCTGGAGTCCTGGAGTGGAGCTGTTGGAAAAGTACTGGACTGCTAACCACAAGGTTGGCAGTTCAAACCCGCCAGCCATTCTTTGGACATCCTATAAAGAGTCACTATGAGTCAGAGTCCGGGTGTGGTGCTGTGGGTTAATGTGTGGGTTAAAGCCGTTTGAACTGCAAGGTTGGTGATTCAAGCTCACCAGCTGCTCCTTGGAAACCCTATACAGGGTCACTATGGATCAGAGTTGACTCAACTGCACCTAACAACAACAACAACACATGAGTCAGAACTGACTCGAGACAACAAACAAGATGGCAGATCAGGTGGAAGTGCAGTAAAGAATACAGGACCAAGCAGGCTCAGGGGATGGTCCCAGAACTCTGAACCACATATAAAAGAATATTTAGAAAGTTGGAAGGCTTACAGTTAGGGGAATTTGTAGCAGAAGCAAGAAATCCACTGCTTTCTAGTTCAGGATGCTCAGCTGCTCCAGGAGCCGCCATCTTGGGTGAGACCAAGCAGGGAAAGGATAGGAGAGGCCACAGACGCCTGACAGAACCAAGGAGATGGAGGTGAGGTGTGGATATTCTTTTCTTTTGATATCTGTTCATTTGTCCCTTGCTGTCTGTGCACCTCCATTCTGGTGACTGTAGGGGTACCTGAGCTGGGGGACACCCCAGGAGGACTCGCGGAGGGTTCTACTATGCATGCGCACAGATCTCCTCAAAATTTAAAGAGACAGTTTCCAATTAAAACCAAAAAGCCACAGCCAGCCTTGAACTGTTTATAACTAGAAAAAAAGCCTGAACAGGGATTGTGGAGCAGGACAGGCAGACAAAAAAAGGAAACAGGCTGAAAATTAAATCCTAAGTTACGTCAAAATGACCAACAGTGGCATTTTGAAATTTCTCAGGAAGAAGAGTGAAAAAGGAAACCCATTTCCTGATCACATCTACCTGGAGGCAACCAGAAAGCATAAAAAATACCAAAATACACACCCATCTAAGTATTAAGGCCACAGATAACCCCAGAATATGCCCAAAAATACAGGAGCAGGTGACTATATCTGCACATGTCCAGAAATAAGATAAAATGACTGAGGCAAATGAGGCATACTGGAAGATGGGCAGGCTTTGGAAATGCCTGAGAAGGAATTCAGAAAAATGATTATAAAATGTAACAAAACACTATATAATGGAGTTGAGAAAACTAAGGAAGAAGTCAGGAAAGTGCTATAGAAACAATCAAATAAGATAAATATAGCATTGGAAACAATTCAAAACCTACAAAAAGAGGCCCAGACAAATAAAAACAGAATATCAGAAATGGACAATACACTGAAAGAGCAAAGGAGTAGAATTGAAGCTATAGAAGCCAGAACTAGTGAGCTACAAGATAAATTTCTCAACACTACTAAGATAAAAGAACAAACACAAAAAAAGGATAAAAAAAAATCTGAAGGCCCAAGATTCATGTTGGACAACATGAAGAGGAATAATTTAAGAATTATTCGCATTCTAAAAAAGTAACAATTACACAAGTCCACAGAGGAGATAGCTGAAGAGTTTCTGGATGAAAATTTTCCTAATATCCTGAAAAGTGAAAAGATAAGCATTCAAGAAGCTCAACGAACCCCAGGAAGGAAAGACCCTAAAAGACAATCACCAAGACATATAATAATCAAGCTCTCC